AAGTTCTAATAATAATATGACACTCTATTTATAACAGTAACCCAAGGTTCTAATAATAATAATAATAATATTTTGTATCAAAGGAAATAAATGAAATCCCAAAAGATTAGTGGCGTCGTTTGTAATTAAAATTTTGATATTTTACAATATGACACTCAAATATTTTGTGGTTAAAAATTGTCATATATGATGATTATCTCATAAGATTTTTTATACTCTATAATACGTTTGTGATAAATATTTTTGGGGGACAAACTGAAGCATACATCATCAAATTTTTGATACTTTGTTTCTTTTTCGTTTACATCTTTTTCTATCACTTCATTTCATTTGTATTTATCATGTACTTTTTGAGTTTAGAATCAAAACCATCTCAGATAGATAACAAACTTTTAAGAAGATAAAATTTTGTATCAAAACCAAACATCGGTGGTCCTAGTAGAGTAAATTAATTTTAGAGTAAATTACAGTCTTGTTCCTTGTAGTTGTCTATTTTTAACACTTTTGGTCTTCTTTATTGAGATTTTAACACCGGTGGCCCTTAATGTGTAGTTTGATAACAATTAAGTCCATGCACTTAACAACCCTAACAAAAGGGTTGTCAAACTTTTGAAAAAAGACAATTTTACCCTTCCAGCACATTAATGAACAAAATGCTATACATTGTCTAATTTTAAAAAATATTAATTTTTATACACGACTATATTATAGTTTTGGGTAAAAAAACATAAGTACATTGCCTTTAATGCGTTATCAGTTAATACAATAGAGTAAATTGTGGCTTCAAACTCTGCTTACACATTCTGAAACTTCTCTCTTCGCGCGAAACACTTTTCAACTTTTGTTTTCAGCTTCTCATATGTTAGTTTCTTAGCTTCTTCCTATGTTTATATGATTCCATTACTACAAATAAAATGACATATAGTTTCACTTTTTGTAATAGTTATTGTTTTTGTCATATCATGTATGAAAACCACTCATTTAGTTTGTTATTTTTATAATATATGTTTATATTTCTCAAATTAATATTAATTTTTATTGATGATATAGTTTCTTAAGTGAGTTTTATTGTACTACAACAATTGGTTGACCTTTTAAGCAAGGTTGTTTACGTGTTGACTAGGCTTCAAATTTGAACATGTTGCAACTAGCTCTAGTCTATGTTTCTTTATGTGTTCCAACATTCATGAATTTGTTAGTTTCTTAGCATCCTCCTGGTGTTTATATGATTCCATTAAGAGTTGATTAGGCTTCAAACTTGCACATGTTGCAACTATGTAACTTGTTTATTTTCATTGGAGCAGTTATGGATAGATCTTGGATGTATTCTGCACCAAGATGTAGTGAACCTTTTATAAATGGGGTTCAATTTTTTTTAAATTTTGCATTTGAGAGATCAAATGTTAACGGAAAGATATTATGCCCTTGTGCACGTTGCCTGAATATGTATTATCGTGGAAGGGGAGATATTTTGGATCACCTCATATGTTTCGGGTTTCGTTCAGAATACTTGGTATGGGTGTATCATGGGGAAGGCTCAACAACTACATCGTCTGGTATAGTACATAATGCAGAGGAAGATCTATTTGACCATGACATGTATGAAATGTTGAATGATGTATTTCAACCCGAGATCGACGTAACTGGAGTAGAGGCACACGAGGCTACCTTAAATAATGGTCAAGAGGTGGAAAATGAAGGAAGAACATTTGATAATATAGTTAAGGAAGTTGAAGAGAAGTTATATCCGAGTTGCAAATACAACAAGTTATCTAGCATAGTGCATCTGTACCATCTAAAGTGTCTTAATAGATGGAGTAACAAATCGTTCTCTATGTTGTTGGAGTTTTTAAAAGATTTGTTACCTGAAGGAAATTTGTTACCAAAGACCACCCCACAAGTGAAAAAAATAATGGCTAAACTGGGATTAGGATATGAAAAAAATCCATTCATGTGCTAACGGTTGCATGTTATTTTGGGAAGAGAAGGAGAAAGATGAATGTTGTTCTGTTTGTGGATCATCGAGATGGAAAGTGTCTCAAGATAATTCAGAAAATGGAACGATTCCACCTAAGAAGAAGGCATCAAAAATATTACGGTGGTTTCCTTTGAAGCCTAGACTTCAGAGATTGTTCATGTCATCGAAGACAGCTAGCCTAATGAAGTGGCACCATGTGGAACGTGTGGAAGATGGAAAGATTCGACATTTCGGCTGATGCACTAGCCTGGAAAGATTTTGATAAAAAATTTCCAGAATTTGCTAGTGATCCCCGCAATGTTCGTTTAACTCTAGCAAGTGATGGTTTTAACCCATTCAGGACAATGAACGTGTCGCATAGTATTTGGCCTGTTTTTCTTATTCCCTACAACTTGCCACCATGGTTGGTTATGAAACAACCTAATTTCATTCTCTCCTTAATTATTCCCGGTCCAAGAGCCCCCGGAAACAAGATAGATGTGTATATGCAACCTTTGATAAAAGAATTGAAGGAGTTGTGGGATGTTGGAGTTGAGACATTTGATGCCTCAACTAAACAAAACTTTCAATTAAAGGCATCTGTTCTCTCTACTATATCCGACTTTCCTGGTTATGCCAATTTATCTGGGTGGAGCACCAAAGGAGCACTTGCATGTCCATTATGTGGTTTTGATACTGATTCTAAATGGCTAACCCATGGAAAAAAGTATTGTTACATGTGTCATAGAATATGGCTTCCAACTAACCATCATTGGCGTAGAGACACTAAATCCTTTGTTGGAAGAGAGGAATTATGAGTTGCCCCAAAACCTTCTTCCGGAGAGGAGGTTCTCCAACAGTTAGATGGTACAGAATTTCTTGCTGAAAAAGTAGATGGTGGTCCATGGAAAAAGAAAAGTATTTTTTTTATGTTGCCATACTGGGAGCACTTGTTGTTGCGTCATAATTTTGACCTAATGCACATTGAAAAAAATGTATCTGAGAACATTGTGGGGACTTTTTTAGGTCAAGGAAAAAAGTCAAAAGATAACTATGAAACACGACTTGATCTAATACAATTGGGTATAAGAAAGGAATTGCATCCCAAAAAGCGACCTCGAAGTGATACTACTTTCATGCCAAGGGCATGTTATCAAATGAATCGGGATGAGAAGGGAATGTTCTTAAAAATATTAAAGCTAATTAAGCCTCCTGATGAATTTTCATCCAATATCTCTCGATGTGTGCAATTGAATGAGAAGAAATTAGTTGGGATGAAAAGTTATGATCACCATATGTTGATGCAAGAATACTTGCCCATTGCATTACGAGGTACTTTGCCAGACCATGTAAGCTCCACTATAATAGAGTTGAGCGATTTTTTTAGGATCATTTGCTACAAAGACTTAACCGAAGTTGATCTCCAATATCTCGAATCAAAAGTTTCTGTCACTTTATGCAAATTGGAAAAGATTTTTCCTCCTTCATTCTTTACTATAATGGTGCACTTGGTGATCCACTTAGTTAGAGAGGTTAAGTTAGGAGGTCCAGTTGCTTTTCGATGGATGTACCCTATAGAGAGGTAAACAATATTTATGTTACTTTTTCCTATTATCTTCTATTATTCTATAGATGATCATTTTTTTGTAATTGTAATCATAGGTACCTTCTAACACTTAAGTCCTACGTTCATAATAGAGCTCATCCTGAAGGTTCAATTGCTGAAGGCTATTTAGCTCAAGAATGTGTAACATTTTGCTCCAGATATCTCTCAGGAGTAGAAACCATATTTACTAGACCAATTAGGAATGATGATGAAGGTGATCAAAATGAGATTGAAGAATCTAACAATCTTTGCCCAGGTCGCCCATTGGGACGTAAAAAGAATTCTAGGGTATCACTTCAGAAAAGAAAGAGATCTTCAAATTTCGTCTTGGACGAGAAGTCACTCACTCAAGCACATCGTTATGTCCTATTTAATGTTGAATCAGTTTCACCATTCCAATAGTAAGATAAACTAGTTTTCCTATGCGTTTGCATATTATTCTTCATTTACCTCATATTATTGTTCTTTATCTGAAGGGAACACAAAAGGATAATCAAGGGACAAAATCGATCTCGGCGGATACATGATTATGAAATCAACAAGATTCACTGCCAACAATTTAGTGAATGGTTTAAGAGAAGGGTAATTTGGAATAAATATTGGATGTATCAAATTTTGATTTTCAAGATGTAATTATATAATTATGTTGATAGGTTGCACGCATGGAAGAGCAAGGAGATCAAAAAGTAACTGACGAAATAAAATGGCTTGCACGTGGTCCACTTAGAGTTGTGCAAAAATACTCAGGATACCTAGTTAAAGGTTATCGATTTCATACAAGAAAACGAGAGGAACTTCTACGAACTCAAAACAGTGGTGTGTCTGTTATGGTAGAAGGTGCAAATTATTCCATTAGTCGAGATAGAAGGCCAGTCGAAGGCGTGAATAACTATTATGGAAAATTAACTGACATTATTGAATTAAACTACTCTGGAATGATACGAGTTGTTTTATTCAAATGTGAGTGGGTTGACATCAACAGAGGTTGCAAGAAAGATGGCAATGTAACATTGGTCAACTTCTCATATAAGACACATACCGGTGTTAACTTGATTGATGATCCCTTTGTTTTGGCATCACAGGCCGACAAGGTGTTCTACTCCATGGATCCTAAACATATAGGTTGGGAGATTGTGCGACATGTAAAGCTTAGAGATGTATTTGACATGGGAGGTGCTTATGATGACATATTTGATGTACCTAACTTGCATAGGGTTGGTGATGATGGCATAGATGTTACACCTGAAATGATAATAGCTAATGAAAACATAGATGTCATAGATGATGAAGAAAATAATAGTGACTAGATTAGTATTTGATGATAGTTAATGAAAATTTGATGCACTTTATCTTTATATGTATATTTATATGCATGTATCTATGTATTATATGTATATATTTTATGCATGTACTTATCTGTTGTGGTGCTATAGGAGGATGGGTAGGCGTAAGAGGCTATGCATCACCTCAATTGATATCCCTATTGACAGTGAGATACATGATCAAAGTTCTGAGTTTTCTAAAACTGATATCCCTACTGAAGGAGACCAATCAGATCATCCACAAACTACTGAAGGAGGCCAGTCTACTGCTGAAGAACACAACTCTACTGAAGGAGGTCAATCAGGTAAGTCAATGACATATATATTTTTTCAAGTAGTTCATGTTCTTTTTACTTTTGTCATTTACGATTTCAATTTATAGCAATTACCGTTCTCTGTAAACGACCCTTACTTTGTTGATTGATACTATTATTGCATATTTTCATATCTTTTTTTGGTATATGCTATCCATTTTGAGTAGGTAGATTTGTTTCTAGATCAAATGTTTTGATTTTGTTGATGAAAAATGCCCACTTCTTTTATCTACCACTAGGTCAAATGTCCACTTCCTTTATCTAACTATCTCTTTGTTTACATCATTTGAAATATGTAAGCTTAAATTCAATTAATAGTTCTTTAAAGTTTCTCAATTCTTCATCTTTCCCTAGTCTTTTAAGCTTTTTTTTTTCAAAGAAAGGGTTAGATGTTTCCTTTGGAATAAATTTATTGCCTCATTATAAAGGCTTCCAAGTTTTTGAGTAAAAAAGAAACACATGTCTATTTACTAATTAATTAATGAAAACTATCATATTATCACTCTATTGCTAATTTTGGTTAACTTTGCTAATTTTGTTATTAGGTGCTCAAAAGAAGGTAAGGGGCTATACTCAAAAGACCGAGACATGGAACATGAGTAGCTCCCAAAAAATAGTAGTGACATTTAATAGGTTCGGAAAAACCGGTAGGAGATGAAGGAAATGAACTCGTACAATATCTTGGGACCCTTGTGAGGATGGCTAATCATGTCGGAATAGATTATGATGATTGGAGGAAGATCCCTATACAGAAGAAAGAAGATATGTATTCTATGGTTAAGGTGTGTATCTATTAATCAAAATTATGGTGTATTTATATTTACATGTAAGCTTTATTTGTAGGCCAAGTTTGTTATTCATCCGGTTGAAACAAGTGAAATCAAGAAATGGATCCTTTTTAGCATGGGGAAAAAGTGGAGGACTTGGAAAGGTTCACTAAAAGCACGTGCATATGATTCAAGTCTTACAATCGATCAAATTGTGGCACAACAAACTGAGAAAGATAACAGGGTGAACCCAACTCAGTTTAAAAAACTTGTTACTCATTGGTTTACTCCAGAATATCAGGTGATATATTTAGTTTCTTACATAAACTAAGGAATTTATCATTTTACTCATTAGTTACCCTTAATGGCTAATCATGCTTTTATTTCATTGAATCCCTACTTTCACCTTTTAGTTAAAACAATTTTACACTAAAAATAGAAAGTACGTTTCTATTGTGGGTAAAAGATAATGTAAATTTATGGAAAATAATAAAAAAAGTTAGTTACCCTTAATGGCCTAGCATGTTTTTTATTCATTGAATCCCTACTTTTACTTTTTAGTTAAAACAATTACACTAAAAAATAGAAAGTACATTGCTATTGTGGGTAAAAGATAAAGTAAATTTATGGAAAATAATTTTGTAGAGCATGTGTGATTTGAGGAGAAAGAGCCGTGCAAAGATGGAAGAGCCCCATGTTTCTGGGACAAAATCATTTGCTCGACTTGCTCACGAAGAGGTATTATTATATTTTATTATTTTGACTTATATTATCGTCTTTTTTTTTTAAATTATTTATTTTCATCAAACATAACTACATCTTGTTATAGGCATTGAAAAATGGTGTATACCCAACACGAGGACAAATATATGTAAAAACCCGCACTCGTAAAAATGGAAATATCGTGAATGAAAAAGTCGCTCAAGTTATGGTAATGATTTCCCTAGACATTATATATACATGTTTTTAATCATATCAAGTCATATACTATTTGTTTTGTTTTAAACCTTGTAATTTGTCCCACTTTCAAAGTAGGTTGCTATATTATGTTGCTATTCATTTGAAAGTGGGACAATAACAGTGGATGAGAAATACTTGTCATGTTTTTCGTATGTTGCTATAATGTAGACTTCCCTACAAGCCATTGCAAGTGATTCCTCAAATACCCAAGGATCAAATACCCTAGGATCTGTAGATGATTTTTCAAATGATGACTACTCTAAGTTAAAGGTCCTGAAAAAAGAGGGTATATCAGATGTGTTGGAAGGATACCTACCGTAAAAGAGAAGGTTGTTTCTTGTTCTAATGATCCGAGTGTCGAACAACTAAAAACTATGGTGAACGTTATGGCAAATATCATCCAAGAACATATCCCAAATGCAAACTTGTCTGGAATTCTTAGCAATATGAACATACAGGTACATATGTCATCTATAATTGCATTGTTCCTATTCAATTACCCTATGAACGAAAAAAACATTCATTAAAATTAGTCCATTATCATATTTCCAATTGGACTCAAGAATGACCACTTTTGCCCTTCTGAATATTCTTCTTGGTGTACATTTGTACAAGACTAGTAGAAGATATCTAGAATTGGACATTAATGTTACATGTTTTCATTAATTTGTTTCAGATGCCAAGCAACACTTCTACATGTCCACGTAACTCTAATTCAGTTAACCAGAGAGCATCTTCTGAAAGTCATCATAATGATGGTAATCATTTTTATGAGCTTTTGTCTTTCCTTTGTTCTTATAAATATAGTTTATTTGTGTTGAGTGTTATATTATTTATTTTCTAAACTAAGCCTTGTTTCACTAGATTCTGGATTATCTTTGTTTTTTGACAGGGAATTGCTAGCATTGATTCTAAAGTATGAGATAACACAATTTATTCAACCTATCATGTCTTTGTTTTTTTGTTTTATTTTATTTTTATATGTATATTTGAACTTTTTCTCATTACTTTATGTT